GCCCGGGAGGAAGGGCGTGTGCATGTTCACGCGTCCATACACGCACATGTGCAAGGGTTACAAGTCCTTCTGTTTACAGCTTAAATGTGCTTTGTTACCTTTTTCTGATTTGCAGACTTGGATACATACAGTAGTTATAGTTGGCAGCATCCTCTTCTATTTTTTCTTCACTCTGGCTTTTGGAGCAACCTGCAAAACTCGCAACCCACCATCAAATCCTTACTGGATCATGGAGAAGCACATGACAGACCCAGTATTTTACTTAGTTTGCCTCCTGACTACTTGTGTTGCATTGCTACCCAGGTGCGTTTCTGTTTTATAGTTGCAGATTGCTGTTGTTAACCAAGTTAGTTTTCTTTCAGTCAGTGATGCTGTAAATCTCTCTGGCTGGAGGTCTTCCTGCCCCCATGACTGCCAGTGCCCCACGACTCCCAGTGTAAAGAATATTTCATAACTCTGCCAGAGGAAGCCATGTGAGGACAGCTCTTTAGTGACATGTTGTCAAAATGGTTTTCAGTAAACAAAAAAATTCTTTTGTGACTTTTATATTACATTATTTATATCATATTAAATATTGTCCTTGGAGGAAAAAAAACAGCAATCTCTGTAACCACAGAGTTTGTAATTTATATATAATTTGGTTAAATGAGTGATCAAAGTTGGCATAGAAGTGCTGTGCTTAGTCTGTGTTTATTTGTGAAACCTCTTTCTGTTTGAAGTTTATGTCCTGAATATATATAAGAATACCTAGAGTTAAGAATGCATGTGCCGGCCTCTCTGTGGGGTGGAAACACACTGACGAGATTCACAAGGGGTCCTGAGTTGTGTTTTTATCGCACCTGGTGTTTAAGTGTTTTGCCTCATTGAAGAAGTCACAACTTCAAAGCTGGTAACTCATTCACCCTGGAAAGGCGGAAGCCAGCTCTGCTGGGTGGAGATCTCGGACACCAGCACGCTGAGCAGGGGCACACCTGAGAGACCCAACAACAACAAAATGGGTGAAAACCAGTGAAAGAGACTTCATTCAGCTCTGGGTCCAACTTTGCTCAGTAGCCACAGCCATCTTCCTTTCACTGGCTAAGCATGAACTCAAGTCTGCAGCCTGTTGGTGAAGTGCCTCGGGTGCTAATTTATTCCTTCTTTTGTTTTATGCCTCTTTATTTCCCTTTCTTATAATTTCAGTAAGAGGGGGACTTGAAACTGAGTTGCACAGGGAGATACTGAGAGGAGTGTTGGGGAGAACAACTGCCGTTTCCTCCTCCCCTGACGTCGTTTATACCGTTGGGCACAGGCTGAGCACACTTTGTGCATCAAGTCCTGTAGCATGAGGCTGCCTGAGCTGTCAGTGCCGCCGGCAGGAGGGCTGGCAAAGCAGTGCCTGTAGGTGCCTGCAGTGGCCACCAAATATTTAAGTACCCTCTGAAAATGTTCCGATCTGTGCCTTAAGCCTGTCAGCCAGGGTTTTGCTGCGCTCACTGGAGATGATGACTTCTAGCTTCTGTTTGGGCTTCAAATCAGCAAGAAATGTGTTTGCTCTTCCGTCCCCATCCCTGCCCTCAGCCCGGCGTCAGCTGGTGACAGTGGAGCCTGCTTATTTCCGATGTCATCCTTTGGAAGGTGCTGAAAAGCCACTTCTCGGTGGGGACTGCGAAGCTAAAGGGTGCTCTACACCATCCAGCCTGAGGGAGTGAGATTGGGGCTTTCACTGGAGTTTGTAAGGAGCAGTTCTCTTAAGGGACAGATGCTCTGTTGACTGAAAATTCCATGCAAAAGTCTATGATTAAAACTTTGCCAAAGTTGCCAGTTAAATCAGTTCTACTATGAAATTATTCCTAGAGTTTTATTCTGGAACATCGCTTGTACTCCATGTGATGCTTTGTTTCCTTGGGCTTTGTTTTTATGTTCATTCTTGTTTCTGGTGAATTCTCTGGTCCTACAAAAGTTAAAAATTTCAGACCAAAGCTCTGCCTACTCTTCCCAGCTTTCCAGGGCGATATTAGTGCTATATCATTAGTGCAAAACAGTAGTGATAAACAGCTTCTCAGTTGGAAGCATGATTTTTTTCTGGGCCTGATCTTTTTCCACACTAGCTCCTAACTCCTTGTATCTGCGCTGAAGTGCCAGGGAAACTAGCCATGCGCTGATGTTGATGCCTCTTTTTTCTGAGGCGTGGCACTACACACAGAAAGCTGCACTTTCAGTGCAGTTGAGATCCCGGCCCTTCAGTGAAGTTGCAAGTTCACAGTGCTGCAGAAACTCATCTGTAGGAGAACCGTGTTCAAGAAAGAAAAAAATGGAAGTACCTGAGATCTGTATCTGTCTCTGGAAATGCCATTTTATGTTCACAAAATGGCACCTGCGAAAAGGTGTTTCAGAGGCTGCTGCAGCCTCAGGGTTACTTGGATAGTGTTTGGTTTCCTTTAGTGTTGCTGGAAACCATTTTGAGTCTGCTTCTAAACAGCTTATTTGCCACTGTTTATTTTGTAGATATTTGCTGAGAGCTCTCCAAGGAACATTGTTTCCGTCTCCAGCGTTGAGAGCCAAGCACCTTGACAGACTGACCCCTGAGGAGCAGAGGGAAGCAACTAAGAGACGGAAAGATGAGTGCGGTGTGAACTGTAGGATGGAGTTCCAGGCCACATCTGGGTCTTCCAGCTCAGCCACAGGTGCCGTATCAGAGGAAGACAGTGTGGCCAGTGTTTTGCCAACCTCTAAAACATCTTTTCAGGCCTCTTCAAAAGATGGGTTGGCAGAGGACACCTCCTTCTTAGCAGACGTTCAGGATGAGCCTGGGAATACAAATGGCTTGAACTCTGAAGAGACAGTACTTCTGAGTTCATCAAATGAAACTCATTTGGACACATTTGGTGGTAATAATTCACATGCCAAAGTCTCTGCATGTGCTTTTGAAGATGGCAGCAGTGTTGTTCTCTAGAGCACAAAGCAGGTTTGAGTTCTGGTTTGTGTGAAGAAGATGTTTTAGCGTGTTTTGCAAAGTTGGAATGCTAACTGTTTAAAACCCAAGAATAATAACTGCTGATTTATGCTGTGTTGTGGTTTTGTTTTCTTGAGCCAAGGTAGACAATGCACACATTTCCTTAAAAGCTTTTTTGTTTATAAAGCTTTTAAATAATTTAAGACATTCAAGATCTAAATTGCTGAGTTGGTTTTTATATTTTTTCACATGGTAGACTTTGCATACTGCCTATTTCTTGTATGCAACATTGCTTGATACCTTGTAGTGTCACAGACAGGACGTTGCATGAATATGGATTTTCAGGATCCAGTTCAGGTAAGCCAACCTGCTCCCTTGCACTGCTGTCCAAAGATCCTGGCATTCGCTGGGATTCACAACATGTCGAAGTATGAAATAGGCAGAAGGGCTGGGAAGCAGTGTTACAGGCTGGCTTTGTCGCAAGACTCCTTCAGTATGTGTATACAGTAATTGTATTAATCATTGCGGTCCAGTTTGTTCATGAGGCATGATGGGTGATGAATGATTAAGCTGAAAAGTTACGATTCATGGGCCGTCTCAGGCCTATTCAAAGACAATTTTCAGCCTCAGAAGAAGAGCAGCCCAGATGAGACATACGTGTTGTGCGTCTTCCTCACCTTCCTCTTCCACAAAAGGAGCAAGTAGCAGTGCAGCTTTGTGTTCTCTGTGATAGGTCATCCTCCTGCTACATCCCTCCTTTTTGTCTCCGTGTGCCATTTCGTGTCGTTCACTGCTGACTGGACTTCTTTTCCTCCTCACCCAACACGGATGTTGGCTGCCTGAATTTTCTCTGAGCTCTACCTCATGCCTGCACTGCAAAATTGCCTTCCAGTGGCAGCGGGTAGCTCCAGTCTGGCTTCAGGTCTTGTATAAAAAGCAGCTTCTAGCTGATGACATTACTCATATTCACTCTCAGGTGTTTTTATATTCCTCCAGACTTATTATAATAAGCGGCTTAAGTATCTCTAAAGATACTTATGCTCAAAAGAAGGTATAACCCATTGTACATCCCAAATTTAAGCTCTGTTGTTCATCTGTCTTGGAGGTGTCTTGCCTCTTCCAGTTTCCCACTGCTCTGCACCGAAGCTGACTGAGGTGGATGCAGCTACTTCTGGATTCCAGACTGTCTAAAATATTGCCTCCTTTTTACTTCCCTCCTCGAAAAGTTACATGGCCAGTTTAGGGAGGAGCTTAGGAAATTGTTTGTATCCACTAGTACCTGTTGAAATAAACAATTTCCTCAAAATGGAGCTGCTAATGGATTATTAGTATCAAGCCCATTTTTTTGGTTCTATTTCTTTCTAAAAGTTTCTGCTTTCAAATTGCCAAGATTTCTGTGTTGTATTTTTAGGCACCACGTTTGGGACAAGAGCTCTGCTTTTTAACTGAACCATGAGGTTTCCTTGTCAATGATCAACATTACATATTCCACATCTTTTAAGAACCCAGAAAGAATTTAAACAAACGCTGTGAGGTCTGAGACGCTGCTATGCACGGTGGATATTGAGGGCATGCTAAGTTCATTCAAATGCAGGTCACCACATGTTACCAAAAGTTTAAAACATCTCTCTTTTCAAAAGGTAGAATGTTATTAGGGCTGACTCCATCCCTGGTGTTAGTGAGGAGAAAAAAACTGTGGAAGGAGCCAGTGATGACACACATTTCTGCAAATATTTTTTTTTAATTTGGTTCGACATATGACAAAATATTTTTGGTAAGTTCTAACATAAAGTTAGTGGGACCTTTGAAGTGAGGGCAGGCATTCAAGTTCCGAGGGATCACGTCGTCGAGTGTGTTGGTTTGCAGTTACGATGTTCAGATGTTTGTCTGTAGCATCCTTCTTGCTGTGGGCAGCACCTTGCCAGGAGGGGACTCTGGGTGTCCCGAGTGAAACATCTTGGCTTTCTCTGCAAGCCCCAGGAGCTGCCAGGTGTCTGAGAGGAAGGTGCAGAAAAGCCGGGAGGTTGTGTGGGGAGATGAGACTTGCTGGGACTCAGTGCTCTGCTCTTACCTAGCAGATGGTCTCCTGTTGTACAGGGCTCCAGAGAAGTTGGCCAGGCCAGTGGTTTCCTGCCCTTGGAAGTCAAACGGGTTTTGTTTCTGTTGCCCCACCTGATGTTTGTCTGCACCTTTAAATCTCTCTTCACTTGTAGCCACAGAGAACAGGTCATTCTCGCTGTGGTGCTGCAGTCTGTGTCTGTGTGACTGAGGTAGTTTGAGCTCTCGGGGAGGAGCTCTGGGACGTGCAGCGAGCTGAGGGAGTGTGGGACTCAGCTCTGTCCCCTTTCTGTCACTGGGAAAAGGAGTTTGAGGACCAACACTGGCCTGTGACCTGCCCTCTCCTTGCCCCTGCCGCAGGGAGCAGAGCAGGCCGCCAGATTTGGCAGGTTGCTCGCCAGCCCAGCTCGGGAGTTCGCAGGCGGATCACAGCGCAGCTGTGCGAGTGGGGCTGAGAGCTCCAGACCCCTCTGCGGCTGCCAGCCGGAGCATCAAAGCAACTACACGAGGAAACGTGCAGGTGGCAGCCACCTGTTGGACCTGGGGCAGCTGCTGGAGCCTCTGGGATGCCGAAGTTGCTGCGACACAACTTTTACCTGCCTGGTCACTGCTTAGTGCAGAGAGGCTTTCAGGATGGATTCCTAAATTGGATGAAGGCTGATTTCATCTGGGTCTCAAATGTGCCAGGGCCTGTGGGTTGCCTTGAAACTTACGGTCCTTTAAAAAGTTCCTCTGTGCCAATTGTAAGTACTTTTGTATGACAGGGGTACAAAATCTCACACACATTATTTCTTCTTGGTTTGCTGTTTCACTGATGGCACACAATGCTTAAAATCGCCCACTGTAGTTTGAGTTCTTTTAGAGGACTTCTTTGACAAGCAGTCTTAAGTGATAAAATTACCATTGTGTAAAATCCAGTTTTTAAATTTTTTTTTCTGTGGACTAACTGCAGAAATATCTAAGGGCTCTCTGCTATGATCACTTGCTGGCTTTTACTGAAGATAGGAAGGGTAGCGAGTCTTTAATAATAAAAGCTGCAAATTGTTAATTGGCCATATCTAAAGTGGTGCCAAATGAAGGGTGCAAGCGAATCTCTCTCCTTTTGCTTCTCAACAGTTGAATGTTTCCTGTATTATTATTATTTATTTATTTTTTTTAGCACTGGACACATCACTTTCCCCTGCTTGCTTCTGCACGCCTGCACTTAGGCACAGCATGACCTGGCTTTTCCATTTTGAAAACAAGCTTTTTAAGACCAACTCACAGGTGCCTTCCAGATGTCATGAAGGAAAGCACAACATTTACACTTTGGATTTTCAGTTTAAAACAAATCAAAGCGCCCACCTTCAACTCCCCCAGACTTTGTAGCTTCACCTAGAGCAGCTTTAACTCACTTTTTGATGTGCATTTGATTTACAGGAAAAAAAATGCGCTTGTTTGCTTTTTTTTCTTTCACAGCAGCAGCACCTGTGCTAAACACTTGCAGGTGGCAGCCAACCACAGCCTTTACTGAGGGAGAGTTTGGATTGTCCCTGGGGTGCAGTTTGAGGTGAATGTTTACTCCAAGCTGTGGTGGTTTTTCCCCCCCCGCAGTGCTGCTGGTGGCAGCAGGAGCTCGGGCAGAGCACCCAACAGTGCTGCCCGTCCTGGCCCTGCTGCTGCTCAGAGCAGCCCTTGCTCTCTGCAGAGGCCAATGGACGAGTTCAAAAGATGACCAAATTAAGAACATTTTCATTGCTGAATTTCAGTATGGTTTTTATATTACTTGTTCCTGTTTTATTCTGGTTATGTTGCTCTTGCCCTCATGGTTCTGCATACCTTACTGCTGACTGCAGTGAAGAGGCAAAGTTTAACTATTTTAAGTTTCTGTGTGCCTATTATTTTGATTTCAGCATGCGTACATGTTCTTGAAATGCTGTATACCAGTCAAAAGCAGATTTTCCTGAGGAAAGCCATAGAACAAAATGTGTTCAGAGAAATTTGTTTGCAGCTTTAGTTTTTCAGATTTTTCAATTCAGAGTAGTTGTTGGCAGCGGTATTCCTGGTAGTATTCGGAACTGGACGCATACATGCAGAAGAAACTAGAAGCTGTACAGTGGTGGTAGTGCCAGAAGCTGCACAAGTGTTGTCACGCTAACAGGGCTGTCAGGGCTGCTTAAAAAAGCGAGTTACGGGTAGGCAAATAGCTTCTTAAGGCTATTTTTAGGCATTGTTTCTGCAGTTGTAACTTCACACCTCCATAGTGTTGTTGAGCCTCTCTCTAAAGATTAAAACACATTTTCAACAGCGAAGATACTTGGAAAATTATTGTAAATTTTTATTAGTACAGCTAGAAACGCATCTGCTTGACTGTGTGATGTTGCTTCCATTTGGAGCTACAGCTGTGACAGAAGTAAAACCAACAATTGTTACCTTACAGTGAGACCACACTTGTAAGAGACAGAGTAATTGTGATTGTAGCCGTTACGTCAGCACACAGGGAAAGGCTTGATACAGTGGAAGGACGAGTATGTTTGCCTATTTCATGTGCAAACATAAAAAAAAAGCAGTATAAAAATACATCTATAAAATTACAAATTTCCTCTTTACATGGAATGTTGTATCAGACAAGTTGTGGGGAAGGAAAAGACCCAGCTGCTCCCTCCTAAAGCCACCTGGGATGGGGCTCAGCCTGTAACCTCTTCAGACTGATCCCAGATGGGAGGGGGCTGAACTCTGTGTTCAAGCAGGACTCTCCCTCACTTCCTGGGAGGAACTGCTCTGAAACTGGTTGCAGGCCAACCCCAGTTAATTAAAATGTGTAATTACATATTATCATTTGGTAGTTCTCATACCTACATGAAATGATTATATATACTCTAGTGCTTTTTTTTTTACTACTTTTTTTTAATTTATTTTTTTTTTACTGCTCTGACAGCCCCTGGGCTGCTTGCTCAGGTAACTCTTGGTAACCAGCTTTGCAGCTTTGAATAGTGCTGCCCTACAGCTGCAGAGATCCTGGCCCCAGAGAAGAGCTAAAGTGGGGGACTGAGAGCTCCAGGTTTCATATCCTTGAGGTAAGGGCATCAATAACCTGCTTCATCTATAATCTACTTGCACTGGAAAAACACGGTCACAGCTGCTTTCTCTCATTTGAGCTGGAGGAAGAAGAGCATTTATATGCTATAGTAGAAACAAAATAACAAAATATTTTAATATATTTTTTAAAAACCATAAAAGAACAAAACAAAAAACTCCAAACCTAGCAAATCCTAGAAGGGTTTTCTTTCTGAGCAGGAAACAGTGATAAGATATAGTCTCTTAAATAGAGTTTCAGAAACCATAAGATAGTATTGGATATTTATTAATAATGCTGTCTAGAATGCTGTCTAATGCTAGGAATGTTAAAGTAGAAGATATGGAAGTAAGAGGTAAACCTTCACGAAAGCAATAGTCAGATCTATGTAGGTTAGTTGTAACATAATTAATAGTACCAGAAATGTCCATTATGGAGCTCTTTCAGTGCGTGTTTCCACATCCGGCACTTGGGATATCGACAAGGCCCTGCCACGCTGTCATGGGGGCGTGCCAGAGGTAGCAGAGAGGATAATCACCTGCCTTACGCTGGATTCACAGGGACCAGGCACAGCACTGAACATACGCACATTTTAAAGGCATTGCTCCCCCATGAAATTCACCCTGTGAATTCACCCAGGTTCCTGACTCCTCCTCCTCTGACCTCCCCTCTAGCACCCTGAAGAGGTGCCAAGCCCCACTACAGCTGCTTTCAAACGGACTCTAGGAGTCAAGGCTTAGCCTCTCACCTGCCACACAGAGCACTCCCCCGTCTGGCTACCAAGCCCCTAAGCAGGGCTCTCTGAGCCTTTGCTGGTGAAACTCTTGCACTTTGCTTAATTCATTTCTAATATTCATTTGAATAGAAGCTGGAATCCAAGTCTTCTATTACTCAGATTTTTTCTGCATTTTCCTTTCTCTTAGTTGTTTAATCTTGCTAAGCAAAATGAAGCTAGAAGAGACTTACCAAAATGCCTAGTTTCCCAGTATTTGGGATACTGCTCACGCTGCATCTTCTGTGCTTTAAAAAGCTGCATTTTCCATATCTCACCAGATGTTCAAAGTAGGTGACTTTAGGAGGGGAAACTGTTGCAGTGGCATTGCCAACCCCGTTATGTTTTTAGAGGGCTGGAGCTAGTCAATGCATGCATTATAGGCTGAACATGCCATACAAAAAGGTGTAAAACGTCAGAAGGGCACAGGTTAGAAACTGGCCCAGGAGTCTGAATAACTCAGTTTCATTCTTGGGTGCCCCAAGGGGTTGTTACGGGTCTGTTGGGCTGCTGGTCCCCCCATCACCCTGCAAAGTCACCCAAGCTGGCTCTGGTAAGAGAAGCGGTGGAGTCAGGATGGTGGGGAGTTCGGTGGAGTCAGGATGGTGGGGAGTTCGGTGGAGTCAGGATGGTGGGGAGTTATGTCCATGTAAGTCAGCCACGCTGAGGGACAGGCTGTGCCTTAGCCCAGGCCCAGCACACAGCTACACGCCTTTGGAAACCTCAGCGTGGGCTTTGACATGCCCCATGCCACACGGACGTGCGATCTCATCCATCTCTCCCACACGCCCTCCAGCACGTGGTGCAGCCCTGCCTGGTGTGCTGTCCTTGTGAACGTGTGTCCTGTCACTGCCGTCTGAACGCACACAGTTCGTTCCCCATGACAACGAGTGAAAATGCATGTGCTACTAATTGAACAGTATTAAAATAGGTTATCTAAAAACTTTTTTCTAGTCTGTGCTGCTGCTTAGTTTGAATAACTGAAAGGCAGAAAGTGGCTGATTCTTTTCTTTTAAGCCTTTTGCTGTGTTCAGAATAGCACCACAACACAGTTAGAAGAAAAGCTGAAAGGATTATTAATTCTACCCCAAAGTATATTCACCAGCAGAGGGTTTACCATTATCATACACTGCATATTCCATAGCTCCCCAGCAAGAATAGGCAGAGCTTGAAACTCCTTTTCATAGAGTTTCTGGACTGCAAAATCTTCAGTGTTGAAGTGCTGATCCCTTTTTTCTTTTGTCTGTCAGCACAATTCTTACCATCTGGAGTTAGTTTAGCAGAAAGGTGTGGATGTATATTTGTCTTTCGATCCACTCAATAAAATGTGACACGTTACTGTAAACTCCAGGCCCCAAAACCTTGGAAAAGCAGACAGAGCCCCAAGATGTTAAACCAAACAAAGTCCAGCGCCCTGCGGGTTGCTCACACACAAGTGGGCCTCCACTGTCACCCTGCAACATGAAAGAAAAAATATAGTCTGTAAGGGCTACACGTGGCCAGCAGTGGTATGGTTAAAGCTGTGTCTCAGTTTCTACAGCAATTTGCCTTTAATAAGTAACTCAGCTGTAAAAACTGGCTGCTCTGCTGAACTGTGTAGCAGCACACAGCACTACCAGTGTTTATTCCCTGTTATAATTGTACAAAAAAATACCTGCAAAAGGCTCGTATAAATTTTTTTAAATCATTCTAATAGTTAACTAATACAGGTAAACCTTGAAGTCTTCAAGCAGCATTCAATTATCATAAATGAAGTTGATTACACTCATAATAATAACAACAAAAGTTTGGTTAAAATATGTTAATAACTGTTCTTGTAGCAGATGAACTGTCCTATATGTAATAAACATCATAATACTTGGATTTCTAAAAGCAAGTCCATCTGTGAGTTTCTCCTTAGAGAGAGACTTACCATGCAGGAGTCCACAGTGCCAGACTCGTAGCCAGCACACAGCATCCTGCTGGTGATGGTTTTCATGTCAAAGTAGGACTGGCACTGCTCTAAGGAAATGATGCGAACTTCTCCTTCTTGAAGCTTGAAAGGCACTGAAAAACAGAATTAAGCATTAAACTATACGTACAAACCACACCAATACTTAGCTATGAGTGCTCTTTGAGATAGCATAAATATTTCCATTAGGATAGATTATGAATATTACTTAACATATATATATTAAATGTAAGAAGAGAAGAATCTCCCTTTTGTGCAAAGCTAAGGTGAAAGCAGGTCGAATTTTTGGACTGTTGCACCGCAGAATTTGTGGCTGTCGTGCTCCTGAGCCAGGGGTGTGCGTGTTGCATTCTGGTGAAGGACTGAGCACCTGGGGACTGGTGTGACACTTGCTGTTCATCATGTGGTTGTGCTGACAGGCTGAGTGCAATTTTAGGTGCTTTTAGGGCTTTTAAGATGGTGACAGTATTAGCTGGAAAACAGTGGCGCGAGGGAGGTGGAGGCAAGGTTGGACTCCACTGCAGGATCTCCCTGTTTCTTCGTGTCTCTCATGGTAAAGCTGAGTATAATCACAGCCATTTGGAGTTAGATTTGTGTAAATTTGACTTGGTGAGTGTATTAGGGGGAATCAGAATTCAAAGGTTATTGAAATGGTTTTGGTAGCACGTTCAGGAAACGGGAAAGGACTTCCTCTTAGTGTGAACAGCTGACCGCTCAAATTTTAAGGGAAGTTGATCAACCTATGGCATGAAGTACTAAATGCTGTGTAGTTGTGATAGTTTTCGATGCTTCGTAACATAAAACCTTTAAAACCAATGCTGAAACCACATTAGAGAAAAAAGAACTTTTTTCCACTTGCCGGTTGCATTCTGTGAGGTTTTATGCTATTAAATACAAGATATTTTTAGATGGGTAGAGCTGCCAGTAAACAGCCTTTCACAGGTGCATTTAAATTTTTGCTGTGTGTCTGACCTGGCCACTAGAGGTGAAGTCTCACCTGAAGCAATAATGAAAAGAAAATTTCCTTCTCCAGTGAACAGAAGAGCCTTCCCTAGTAATTACCATAAAAGTGAAGGGAGAAACACAAAAGCTAGAGCATTAGCAGGGTTGGGACCAGGATAATTTTCGTAGGACGCATGCAGAATTGTTTTGCTCAACAAAGATTTACATAACGTTTTGTCTCAACAAAGATTTACATAATGCAACTGTTCTTGTCCTGGGACCTAAGGATTGCAGGGGCCACAGAACAAAGAAACACACCAACATTCTGTTCAGAGAGACTAAAACACCTCTTGCAATTATGCCTGGATGTAATAAATTATGTCACAAGCCCAAAATGTGACATGAAGCACTGATTCAAGAAAACATTCACTGAGCTACCTGTAAGCCAATGCCTTCAGTGCCTTCTGCTTTCACTGAACCAAGAGTGTTGCTCCCCCACCCAATGATCTGATACCTTCTCAATACAGTTCTGAAAACACCCTAACCAGTAAAATGATAACCAAGCCAGGTAACTTTCAGAAGTTTCTAGATCCTCAGTGTTTTCAAAAAATCAAGCCACTTGTCTAAATAAGGATTAAGGATCGCAAATTCAGGCTGCTGATTTGAAAAAGCTAGGCTCTATCCACAGCCAGATCCCTTCACGAGTGGTTAGAGCTCCCTAGCTTTTAACAAGGTCCAGTAATAGTACAAAAGGATGAAGCTTTGTAACGAGATCACTAATTTGATCAACTCAGGAGAAGATTCACATGTTTTCCAAGAGTCCCCAGAAATATTCATCTTACTTTTGTTGCCCATGTGTCCCCAGCCTGTGATGTAGCAGTAGGTATCTGGCTGAACCAACTGGTCCTTGCTGGGCAGGCAGACAGGTCTTACATAGCTCGTCTCCTCGACATCCTCATCTAGTTCCACAATGCTGATATCATAGTCTACGACTGCTCTGTTGTAGCGTGGATGGAGGATAATGGTCTTCACTAGTCGGGTCTGCATGAAGCCTGATGGATGGTCAAGATTGCTAATCCCAAATACTACTTTCCAAACAGCTGCATTTTCTCTCCTTTGTAAAAAAAATTATAAAAAAAAATCATGGGGAATTTCAGTTAAGAGCTATACCAATGAAACCAGCAAATGACACGGTGTTTAATGTAGCTCTTTCCATTTCTGCCCTCTACAAGTATCCATGACTATCTGCACTGAGTTTTTGCTGCATTATTGTTATGTAGTCCTCATGTTTTATATCCCAAGTTTCACATGAACTTCATCAAATACTTCACAGACTTGACTATTTTGTCTAAAGCACCAGAGCACTTTAGAATCTGTTTGAACTGGTGGCTTGTTGGGTTGATTTGGTAAATTTTTTAATACTTCATATCAAAAAAGCTTTGTGTCATCATGAATGATCTTGCTGTTGCTCTATCAAGCTGTGCAAATGAGGAATTTGAAGATTTTAGGCTGCTGGGAACAATCCTTCAAATCTGGTCAGAGACGCAGAAGAGAAAAAAAGTTAATATAGTTTCTCAATGAATTATTAAACCAAGATCTCTTACTACTTTAAGGCATTTAAAATACAAATGTGAAAGAGACCTTTTACATGTAATACTCTGGGCTCACATAGATATTATATAGCCCTGAATAAGGGGTAAATTAATAGCTCCAAAATACAGTGGCAGTCTGAATTGACAAAATTGCGTAATTTTTACTTTAAAAATTTGACAGCTTCTTTGCTTATCTTTCACTAATGAAAGAAATCTCTTACTTGTGAAATTCAGTAGAAGTCTGGTATTGCTGATGGATCTACCTCTACATCTCACCCTTTATTTTAGATCACCAGGGAAAGTTCTTCCAAAAGTAAAGAAATACTTCTGATACTGCTTAGCATTTAAAAATAAATGGGGAAATAAGAAATTCCTTGTGTGTGACCCAAAATCTAATAAATACAATATTCTTGTTTGCATTATTCAAGATTAGCACTCTGTAGTTTAGAAGGAAGGTTATCTAGGTTACTCTCAAGTTTCTAGTTATTACTTTTCTTCTCCTGAATGGAATAAATTCTTGAGCATCCTTAGGGCTTGATATGATGTGACAGTCACAACTGAGGTCTCTCCAATGTAATTCCCTCTAGCATTTCCCTTAATAGTCTCACACCTTGAGATACTCATACTATCACCTGTCTGATGTCTTCTAGCTTGGAAACAGAAGTCACAAACTTTGCCCCTACTACAAGTTCCATCAAGAAACAGGGGAGGAAAAAAAAGGGTGGAGGGGGAAAACCCAACAAACATCAAAAAACTCAGTGTTTTAGAAATAAAAAGACAACATTGAAATTACTACTTAAAAAAGGAATGATCAATGTTCTAATGTTCTAAAGAGACACTTGCTTAGCCACATTTTGGCTTTAGCAGCAGTTTACTCTAGTCTAAAATAATTTCCAATAAACAAATACCAGTTTAAAACAGGATTAAGCACTGGTGACAACTGTGTAGCAGAAAAGGACTTGCTAACTACAGTAGAAAACACGTATTTCAATTATCTTTAGAAACGCAAATTAAAAACTAAGGTACAAGACAGAAGAAATTAGTAATGAACTTCCCTCTAAAATCTTTGGCTCGTTAAAAAGAAATGTTTGGTAGCACCAAAAAGTCTGACAATGACCAAGGCAATTCCTAAGACACGTAAACTGCACTCCAGACTGCCCATCCACCACAAAGCCGCAGGTACTGACAGGCACAGAGTACTGGTTAATACTGACTTTTTAAAGATTGCAATCCTCATACAGGAGTGGAGTGTTTATAATTAGTAAAGGCAGTGACTTCAATATGTCAGTTGCCCTGTGAGTGCTCAGTTTTTATTTTTACTAGTGGCCACAGCATTTTTCCAGCATCATTTCTATGCTGCTTCCCAGAATGATTGTTTTAATCCATGGCAGTTGGTATGAGAACTATAGGATTGGTGATTTAGTGTTCTTCCTTTTCCTGTTTCCTG